ATATAAATATGAATAATTTACACAAATTAATGTCTGAGACAAACAAATCTTTTTTTTATCAAATTAGCTTTTTTATGAATAGCCAGGTTCGCCCGAGGCTGTGCCGTAGACTGATCCCTATACTATTTTATAATATGAGAGCAGGACCGACAACTGTCACTGTTATCAAGCCTACTGAGTATCAATGGAAATTTGAATCTTTAGTATGTTTTCAAGTATACGTCAAATTTTTTCAGTATTTTTAAGATCTACTATCCTACTCGTAGCGGAGACAAATCCAACAAATCAAAAACCATGAAAATTGGTCCAGCAGATCTCGAGTTATAAGTGTAGGAACACTTTTACACAACTCTCTTTTATATACATAGATATAGATATAACATTTTGTGCTTTGAGCATTGTTGGTAATTCATATTTGGAACATTATTAGTATAATCAAATATCAGTTACCAGGTTAGGCATTAATATTATGAATATTAAAACTACGTTATTTCTAATACATCTCTGGATCTTATCAGTTTCTTCCTCTGATATTTGCTCTTTATTCTCCTCATTCGCACACAATATCAATTTAATAATTTAATATGTCCCATAATATATCCAATAAAGCTCCTCTATTCTTCTCTTCTCGAGCAAAATATGTAAATATACATTTTTGTTTCATATATTATATATTATCATTTCGTACTTCATTAGGCTTTCGAAAAATTCTTCATAAATATTTGCCATTTAGCTTTAATGATTTTGTTAGCTGTCTCTTTCTCTCTATAAATTTATGTACTTTATAGTATATACATATGTATTCAATCAAATGCTGACTCAACGTGGAGACTCGTTAATAGATTAAAGAAGAAGACATCATCAGACATAAAGTATTATAATCTCAGCCACTTTTACAAGCGTTACCCATTCATGTCTACACCAAAAGTCAGAAAGGCCCAGTCAAGCCAAAGATAAGATAAGACCAAAAGACATGCGAATTCAGAGAGAGACAGACAGAGAGTGAGAGAGAGAGAGAGGGTGAGCAACTGATGTAGTCATCCAATGTGATTACCGATTTCCAGTTTATAATAAGAAAGGTGCAAAAAATATATCAAAACGAAAGATATCTTTAATTACATATCATTGTGAATTTTGTTGCTACAAAAAAACTCTGGATTTAATGATTTTATTGTTATATGATACGGAATAGTTCTATCAGACATATTTGTATTAATAAATACACAGAGAAAGAAACTAAATATACTATATAAACTAGACCTTGGCTGGGTTAGGGTATTCCACGGCAAATGCAGTTCAAATTCATTACGAATATTTACACAATTTGAAAAAGAATTAAAAGCGCGACCCCTCCTGCTGCTCACCGTCACCCTCCTCCACCTACAGCCCTCCTCATCATCATCATCCACAGGAACAACATGATGGGACGCATAAGGGGTGGGTGCTGCCTCTCTACTATATATACCATATATCTGTATATATGTATGCATGCTTGTGTAGGGGGTTGGTAACTGAGGCGAGCCTTTCAAAAATTACAAAAATATTTGCGAAAAGTACAAAATGCGAATGGCAAGCCCAAAGCAAAGGGGCAAAATGAGAGACAATAGCTACGACGACGATGTCGACTAAATACGAACGAACAGAAACTGAAACTGGAAATACAATAAAATCATAATAATAAAAGTAAAAAAAAGAAACCAATTTTACACCCCTATTAGAGCGGTCGACACGGGACACAGGGCAAAGGCTACGGCGAATGTTGAGACAAGAGGACGTAGCGTAGGCAGAGTCGGAGACAAAAACAAATGAATCCTGCGAGACCAATTGCACGAGCTGGCAGCGAAAAGAAGCTCTCTTCACACTCACACACAGAAGCATATTTGACTGTGTGTGTGTGTGTGTGTAGTTAGTTATGATAATAATAATAATAATGTTGAAGAGGCCCCCCTAAAATGTGGCGCTGTCAGTCGGCAACTGCTTAGACAGCGTTGCCAGGTGGTTGCAAATAAAAACACACAGTCGCACACGCACACACCCACACAATACAAAACATACACATATATTTATTTAGATGTGCGAGTGTGTGTGTTTCTGAATGCAAATCAAAACAACAACAAAACTGCAAACGACGCTTGCAGTCAAACTCATGAATAACGGAAGGGGGCTGCTCTCGCAGTCATGTTGGCAAGTCTGGTCTCAAGGATGCCAATTGGCGCAGGTTGGCAGCACTCTAAGTATGTGTGTGTTTATATATATTATATATACATATATATATTTATATGTACGTGTGGAGGCTAACGGCTTTTCGTTATACAAATTTCAAGCAAAAAATGAAAGAGAACGGGGGAAGGAGACAAACAAAAACAAACGACAAAGCAACCGAAGCTAAGGAGATTCAACGAACGACCTCTTCTACTACTACGACGCCCCCTACTACTATCCGACTCTATCCTATTTGTATCTTATACCATCTTGTATCTCGCTTACGCAAACGACATGCCACGCCACGCCAAGCGACGCGAGGCAACGCGACGCCTTCGCATTCGCCCCTGTTCTGTTCTTCGTGCATTTCCACGATACAAGTGCGAGCGATTGATTATGATTATTAGTAAGTAGCAAAGCAATGGCAATGGCAACGACAACGGCAACGGCTTGACTTGCGGCGAAATGGGGTAGAAGAGACAGAGGCGGCAAAAACGAATTTAAATGAGCGCACAGACACCAACACACTCATACACTCACTCAAGCACACACATACACTGAGCCATCCCAACTGGTTAACGTGTGTTTGTTTATTTGCTTGTCCCTGTGTGCGTGTATGTGAGAGAGTTTTGAGAGAGTAAGTTACACGGGCCGTGTAAGTGGGCAACGATTGTACATGTGAAATCTATAGGCATAAATTTATTGTTTTGTATTTCGTTTTAACTTTGCGGCTCGACTGACTACTTGGTGCTGCTGCTGCCGCTGCCGCTGCGTGTCTACCTCTGTCTCTGACTCTGCCACTGCCACAGCCGGAGCCGCCACAGCTACGGCTGCCGTTGGTTGTTACTTTTATTTCGCTTCTGCTTGTTCTTCGCTTGCTTTTGCGCTTTTTTTTCTGCACGCATTCTTTGCATTCACATTTATTTCGTTTGCCAATTTGCCTTCATTTTAATTAAGCTTTTATTTCTTTTTCTGCATATTTAATGCAGTAAATTGTCATCGCATTGTTGTTGTAGTTTTACCTCCAAATAAATGCCATTGCTTAAAGTTGTTGTTGTTGTCGTCGCTGTTGTTACTGCTGCTGTTGATTTATTGAGATGCTCGCAGAAGGCGGAGAAGCTGCTAAAATCCATGGGTTTAATAACCTCCATTTTGTATTAGACAATAGGCACATATATAGAAACACATGTACACACACACACACATGCACACACTCACGAGCACTCAATTTCGATTTGCAATTGCATTACAATTACAATTACAATTATTATACATATATGTATTTATATACATATATAAGTATGCATATATGCTATATCACAAATATTGAAATGGTTTTCGATTTCGACATTATTGATTTTAATTAAGCACTAATTATCATTCATTGCGGCGACACATTTGCCATTTGCACGTTGCTTGGTGTTGTTGTTGCGGCGACGTCTGCACTCGTCACTCTTCACTCTTAGCTCTTCACTCGCGCTCGCACTCGTCTCGTCGTCTACTTTTGCTTCAGCAATTACATTTTTCCATTCGTTTGATTATTATTTCTTCTATACTCTGACTATGCACACACACAAACATACAGAAGCACATGCATTAAGCGGGAGAAACGAAGAGAGGGAGAGATACGAAAAGCACCGACACGACGTTGTTTTGGATATGGATGCGTTTGCTGCTCAAGCACTTGGACTTTTTACAACTTTACACCGCGGCGCTCAAACAAATAATGAGCGAGCGCATTGCGGACTAAATACAAGAAACACTCCTCACACACAAGCAAACACACACACACACACACATAGATATACATATACACAGAGACCACAACGGGGACGCATACGCGCACGGAAGCAGCGACAGCGGCAGCGGCTGCGGCACTAGCAGCTAAAATCGAATGCGAATCAGCCAGCAACAGCGACGGCAACGGCATCGTCGACATAGAGAACGGGGGAGAGGGTCGCTAGTCAAACCAACAACAACAACAGCCAAGCAACTACTATTGAGCGAGGGAGCAGAGCAACAAAACTGAGCTGAGCTGAGCAGAGCAGAGCTGAACCAGTGCCAGAGCCAGAGCCAGAGCAGAAAAACCAAACGAAACCAAACAATCGTGAGATTAAGCCAAACGCCGTTTTGGGTGAATGTGAATATGAATGAGATGGGCAGGCAGAAAGGCAGTCACAGCCTGTCGTCCATCCACTGAGGTGAATGAGCGCGGCGAAGGCGAAGGAACAGGCACAAGGCACAGGCAAAACGTCACTTGCAGTGCCAAGAGAGACAGCGTGAGAGAGAGAGAGAGAGAGAGAAAAAGAGCGCATTGGACGCGAGAGCGCCGCTAGCGAGAGCGCGTATGTATTTATTCTGTGTCTGTGTGCACTAGATGGACGAGTTGAAGAAGAATGAGAAGGCAGCGCACATTGTGTCAACTGTGTGTAATGTAAGCAAAAGGCAATGGCAAAGCCAGAGCCTGTCACACACATATTCACATTCACACACTAGCGCACACATGTGTATATCTAGATATGGACTGAAGGGGGTGTGGGCAAAAAAGCCAAGCAATGGAACAAATGTACCACAAAAACTGTTGACGACAAAGCAGAGGAGTCAGCAGAGGTAGCGGCAGCGACTGAGCAAAGGACACACAGCGTAAAAGGGATAAAATAAAATAATGGATTAAAATTTCAGGTACAAAATGAGCGCACACACACATCAATACACGTGACAGAAAATACTTCTAGAATGTGTATAGACAATTCTTGACCCTTGTTATAGTTTAATTAATACGACCTTTGGGCATGAACAACAAATCTACATATATGAATACATATACATACATACATATATAGATGCATATTTAAATGAATCTACATGTACTGTACAAATATATTGCGAAAGATAGAAACTGCACTAAAGTGCGATAAGCACGTAGCCAGCCATTGCCAAAGCAGCGAGCGAAAGAGCGCTCTGTCGTGTATAAAAACGAGATTATTAATCAATCTGTAAGATACAGATACACATCCAACAATCCCACCACCAACACCAATACCAATACCATCAACACTAACAGCAGCCGAAGCCGTAGCAGCAGCACAAAGCGAGCTGCCAATCGACGGCGACAGCGACACATCTTCAGAAAATGCATATGACTAAACACACACATACAAGGAAAAACATGATCGGCCGGTAACAGAACAAGAGAGGGAGAGTGAGAGAAGTAAATGCACAACTGCACGTGAGAGTTAACGACTACAGATGTATAGGTGTGCCTGCGTGTGTGTGTGTATAAGCGTGTGACGTTTTGTATGCATGTGTGGTCGTAAATTTGACTAAAGCGTAACGCAAAACTAAATCAAAAAGCAGGTAGATAACAACAGCGGCTCATTCGTACACGTATCCCAACATATGTATGCATGTATGTCTGCGTATGTGTGCAACTTATATTGATGAACTGACCATTGCACACTGGTCAGGTTTTCTTCAAATGGGAAAGAAAAAAATTATTTTCTTAATAATTTATGGCCGACAGGTGTGAAGCGAATGCGCAGCTGCAAGAGCTACACGTGAGACGCACGCGTATAGTGGTCAAACTAGTTCTAAACATATTTGTCAATATTTATGTTAATACAAATAATTGCACCACTGTGCAACAAATGCTAATAAAATAATAAATCGAATAGCGGTCAGCAAGGTGAGCATCCAAGCAAATCGTACACCAGAAGATAGCATTAAAAGAATGGCAAACATCCATGCACACACACACATGTCCTCACGCACACATCAGCTTCTATACATATCATTCCCATACACACTCATATGCAAGCTTTATACTTGTGTTCTAGAAGGAAACAGTAAAAATCTCTTAAGCTGCTGCTGCTTCTGCTGCAAGTGGCAAAAACAGAACAACGTACGAACAGTGGAGCAAAAGGAACAGACAACAACAACTATGAGCTCAAATGAGCACAATTAGGCTTTGGCTTTATTGACGCGCCGCGGGCCTGTAAGCAAAAGCAGGAGCGGAACAGGTCACCATACCAAGTCACATATTCGCCATCTCGTCTCGCTCAATAATTCGCCCCGTGAGAGCGACGACACGGATACGGATACGCGGCCTGGCCTGCCTGAGAGCAACATAGCGACGACAACAGCATTTGGGTGGGCAGGCAATGAAGGCAAAAAATTAAACATTGGATAAATCCAGAAAATGTAAAATTACACACACACACACACAAGCCTCGTCATGAAAAACTAATACAAACAACGGCGCACAAGTACAGCCAACGCAGCAGCAGCAGCAGCAACCACCCGATACCGATACCGATACCAATACCCAACAGTCGGAGACCAGCGACGTCCGCTGCCGTTGCCGCTGCCACTGCCACCGCGGCAACAATCATCGTCACCAAAGAAGAACTTCGTCAATACAACAACAACAATGCGGCTTTAGCTTTGCCTGTGAGACGGTTATGCTTGCTCTTCTCACTGCTGCTAGGCTCTGCTTGCGTCGACGCTGCCATCGGTATTGTTGATGTTGTTGTTGTTGCTTCAGCTTTGATTGATGGCGCTGGCGTTCGCTTCGCCTTTTGATAATGGCGTCGTCGTCGTCGCGCTGCTCTGTCGTCGTCGTTGTTGTTGCTACAGTAAAATGCGCGTCAGGTTGTACAATTGACTCCCATCTCCAAGTCGCATCTCATAATTTGACCCAAGAGCCGTGTTGGCCAACATGTCTGTGGTTTTACTGTTTGCCTCCACATTTTGGGGCGGCTGGTTGGTTTGACATTTTCCTCGTTTGCTCGTTTGGCTGCTCATTCGCGCCTGAGCATCTCGTGTGCACCACATTTCGGGCCTGGCTTCGCCCGCTTTCGGTGTATATTTTTTCCTCTTCTTCTTTCTTTATTTTGCATAAATTAAGCATAAGTGTATTTTGTATTTTGCATTTGTATTTGTATTTGTATTTTCGCCGCCTCCGCCGTTGCTGCTGCTGCTGCTGTTCTGCTCACTCGGCATGTCTTGCGTCTCGTTTTGTCACTGTTGTCGCCGTTGCTTTTGTTTGAACATTCGGAAGTACACACATACATACACACACAGAGAGACAGTTATACAGTCGCATGTAGTTGACAGAAATCAGCGACGGCCACCACCTCGCACGGTGGGTGTAACTTATTTTATTTTATTATGCCTCTTTCGCTGCTGCTGCTTGCCAGATTTCCTCTTTTGACTTTTCACACACTTCATTTATTCTCACTCCACATTGAAATTCGCTTTTTGAATGCACGCGAGCAAAAGGGGTTTATCGATATGTACAGATAGCAATCGAAACGTGAGAAGACAACGGTAATTTAGCAATAAATAAAATGGCTGACTTAAATAGCGCAAAACTTATGAAATGCAAAGTAGTGAATAGCTCTAAACCGGTTTCTGATTAGAGATGGACTTTTGACCATTTAATGCCCAGCGTTGCTGTCATTACGGTTCAGATAATCTATCTTAATTTTCAAATGGGGAATTGCGGTTTTTAAAGATTTTAAAATGCTGAAAAATGTCAAATACTTTTTGTAATCATAATATAAATCGATATCAATTGAAGAAATGTCTTAAAAATTAATTAAAAGTTTTAAATATATCAATTAATTCAATTATGTACAGAAAAATTATCTATGTATGTATATCAATAATTATTGATCATGCTAATTAGTATGCACTCAAATACAACTGTATCATAGGGTTAGTTAGATCAACATGGTTAACTTGACTGTTAGTAATTTTATGTATGTATGTATGTTTGTAGGCTTGTATGTATGTGTGCTTGTGTGGTAAGTTATTGTCAGATGGAGAGCGGCATTGAGTATTTTCGAGTGGTGATTGGGTGGATGGGTCATGGTCTATTTAACGCCCCATGTGGGCCGATTTAACAGAGACCGAGAGAGTGAGCGTGAGAAATAGAGACTGAGAGAGTAAGGGTGTGTTAAGTTCTGCATGAGGTTGACGATTTGCGGGTTAAATTTGTGGGTGAGTGGTGGTAAGTTCTGCCGGGTATATGGGGTTCAATTTTTGTGTTTTGTTTTTGAGTATTTGAGTTTTTCATTGTGTAATATTGTAATATTAAGTAAGAGTGAGAGAGAGAGAGAATGGTACTCATCAGGTTGTTTCACGTACATTGTTCATACTGACCAAATACATGGCCAGTTTGCTGATATCCAAATTGGCCAATTGGCTGACATCGGTGGTGTTGAGGATGCTCAGCATAAGGCTGATATCTGCGGCGGTGGGCATGGCCGGCACCTGTGTTCCGCCCACCTGCTGTTGCTGCTGCTGTTGTTGCTGTTGTTGCTGCTGTTGCTGTTGTTGCTGCTGCTGCTGCTGTTGTTGTTGATGCTGACCCACCAATCCGTGCGATGAACCAGGGCCACCGGCGGCGGCGGCAGCGGCTGCTGCTGCAGCAGCCGAGGTGCTGGCACCTTGTGACTGCATCAACGCCTGCAGGCTGCGATTGCTCGAGTCGAGCTGCTGCTGCAGCTGGCTAACGGACCCGCCGCCGACGCCGACGCCGACGCCAACGTTGGCGACCGCATTGCCGCCAACGCCAGTGCCGCCCTGCATCTGCATTTGCATCGATTGCAGGGTGGGGGTGGTTGGCACCGATAGCGGTGGCGTTGATGAGACCAAAGCCTGTAGCTGTTGAGGCAGAGGAGGAGGTGTAGTTGTAAGCAACAGTAACAAGCGAACGTTTCATGAGAGAAATATAGATAGAGAGAGAGAGAGAGAAAGAGAGCATGTGTGTGTTTGTGAGAGAGCGAATGAGTGTAAACAGGGAATAGAGTATGGACATCGTTCAATTCGTTCACTAGCGACTCGATCATTTTATGCATTAGTTCACTTGAGTTCAGCACTTTGTTCACAAACGAAGATTCACTGGCTCCGTTTAATGAACAATAAGTTCAATACAACTCTAATGGAGTAGATTGAGCAACAGAGACGGCTCACGTCTGCCGAGATGTCGCCTCTCACTTTTCTTTAGCAGATAGTTTTGTTAATCAGCTGTTGGTCGTTGTCGCCCGTTAGGTGTTTGTGGTCCGTTTGCAGTCCGTCCGCGGTTTTAGTTATCGGTTCTCAAATCTACTTTAACTACAATTTACAAATCGACAATTTTTGTTTTCGCAAATCTAAAGCAAGGATCTACGGCCAACAGCTAAGCAACAAAACTACATACTTCAATATCTTCTTTTCAATCTACGAATTTTGATTGATTTTTAGTGTTATTTGCAAAATACAAAACAATAAACACAAATTGCTTAGGTAATAC